GAAATAACCTGCAGAATTAAAAGACGGAGGAGACGAAACAATGAACATACTTTTATTTCCTTGGCATGTTTTCACTCATCTATTGTTTATTTGAATTTAGATTATGAACGTGGAACTATATTGTAATTTCTTTTCGTGATTGCTCACTTTGCCTAGTGAAGTGTACATGTTCAAACTCTAGAGATCTTGACAAAAAAAAAAAAAAAGAACCTCCAGAGATTGCTCTTAAAGCTTTTGTATTCAAGACCCAACAGCACGTATCTCCCAACAACATCGCATGAAAGCACGATTTTAACAAGTTCGCTTACCTTATCGCGGAATCGGTACAGTCAAATCCCTTCGCCGGAGCAGCAAGACGCAAGACCCGCCTCAGAAATGGAGAGCAGCAGGACTTGGTGACGACCCCGCTGGCCGGAGAAGTGGAGAGAGATATAGAAGAGGCGGGTTGATGTGATGTCTCGCGGAAGACGGGGGAGCAAATAAAATGCAGAGGCTTCAAGATGAATGGAATGAAGTTGAGGAAGGTTCAAAGGACAATATATGTACTGTTGAAGCACGGGTGACAGCTCAGGAGTCAAATCAACATAAAAAATGAAATTTCGCGGCAGTATCTGGGGACAAAAGACGAGGGGGGGAAGCAGACGCGAAGTCCACATTATGGGACATTGTCCTATCAACCCACCTTCTGTCGATTTCACAGGTTTCTAATGGCCCATTATATATGCCAACGAAACTTCCAGGAATTTTAAATTTGGGCGCCTCGGAACACGTTAAGAAGACTAATTAAACATGCAGCTTGAAGAATAAGCTATACTAAATTATTTAATCTTTTTGCCCTTTATGGTTTTGGGGCTAGGCGACTCTGCGCGACGAACGTGGATGGCGGCAGAATCAAAGGGACTCCTCAAAAGAGCCAAGAGGAGAGCTCGGACAGCGAGGAAAAGTGTGCGTACCATGTTGTTCTCTTTCTTCTGGGATGGGGGCACGACTAGCTTTTGAACATTTTGCTGTTCAATTTAAGTGACAGATTTAAATTTGTTCTCTGAAATTTTTATTGTTCAATATAAGTGACCAATTTATCATAAATTAATTTTTTGACCACAAAAAATCCTAAACTGATACATATATGACAATTTTATCATCCATTAATTTTCGTTAAATTTTATCGTCAAATTTCTGAGTTGAATGACACGTGACAGTTGACGAGTGTACCAGTTTGGGGTTGTACTCTCCGTTTGTCACAGGCGTACCAGTTTGTAGTTTTTCATTATATTAATCAAATTAGTTTTGAGTAAATTTATCGCGGATGTACCAATTTGAGATTTTTCGTGGTATTAACCCTTATTTAATCCTTCAAATTTCTGGAATTTGCTCGACGTCAGTCCTCACCACCGCCATGGTTGCTTAGTTTTCGTTAAATTTTATCGTCAAATTTCTGAGTTGGATGACACGTAGTAGTTGACGCGTGTACCAATTTGGACTTGTACTCTCCGTTTGTCACAGGCGTACCAGTTTGTAGTTTTTCATGATATTAATTAAATTTAACATAGGGTAAATCTATCACAGGTATACCAATTTGGGGTTTTTGGTGGTCAGAAAATTAGTTTTGAGTAAATTTGTCACGGGTGTGTCAATTTGAGATTTTTCGTGGTATTAACTCTTATTTAATCCTTCAAATTTCTGGAATTTGCTCGGCGTCGGTTCTCACCACCGCCATGGTTGCTGGTGTAGTCTTGTCATGCCTAACACCACCACTACCAGTGTCGGAGGAGCTCAATGCCGGGCGTCTCTGTCGATCAACCGTAGAGTGCAGCTACCTCAGGAAAGATCTAAGCTACCTCTAAGCCAGATTGCAGTTTCCCACCAACGACAAGAGGACGTTGTCCAGACAATGTCGATGGAATGAAGCCACTTTGACAACTCAGATGAAGGAACTGCCAAAGTCCTTGCCATATTTGTTAAGCTCACGTACCAAAATATAATACAAGTACAAAGCATATGTTTTGCTTCTCTTGATATGTTACAGAAGTATACCTTTGGAAAAAGAAAAGAAAGAAAAGAAAAAAAGGAAAAAGAAAAGAAAAAGTAAATAAATGAATTCAAAAAATATTAAAATATTATTAAAAATTGTTCACGTCAGCGCCGGCCATGTCACATAGGTTGGCCGACGTCCACCTCAACAATATCCGGCAAAAATTAGCCGGAAGGACTGAATCAGCTCTAAATCAAAAGGTTTATGACTAAATTGACATCAATGCAATATATTTAGGACTTCTCCTTCTGGAAAATTGTACAAATCCAATCATTCGGCTTTAACTGTTCTAATACAATTGGTTAAGGCTTTATGTACAGGCTCATCTATGAGTGTGCTCTGAAACAGAGAAGCATTGAACAACAAAAGAATTTCTAACATTACTACACTTGTACTAAATCCATCTTCCCCCAACATATTCAAGCATTGGGTTACTGACAAATTTTTCACGGTAGAAGAGGTAGGCCAATACTACTTGTTGCTCATCTTGACCCACACAAAAGGACAACATATAGAATAAGTAAACACATAATGCAGGGACGACATGATAACATATAAAAATAAAGCTTACTTGATTCTAGTAAACCATATCTTGCTTTCTAAAATGTCCATAGTGGATTAACTGTGAGAGTATTCTACGAGTTGGTGCTAAAACTTATGTTTATTTAGAGATATACTGTGTTTATCATCACTATCGGCAGGGCCAAGTTGCTAAGAAGTATAAAATCCTTATATACCTCAATCTATATAGGATGGATAATTGAATTTGTATCTGTTATCAATTGTTCTGAGAAAGAATTTACTCTTTGCAGTTACATTTGTGGTTAAAATGGGCCAGCAGAATGTGTTCGCTGTAGAATTTTGAGGTCAAATTAGGTCTCTACTATTACGGGCAAAACGGGTCTCTATGAATTATGGGTGACTTGGGTCTTCGCGATTTGGACGGGGAGATCGGGGATTGCGACGGACGAAGGAGTTAGCCAAATGGAGAGTCAATTACTGTCAGTTTGACTGAAGAATGACTCGACTTAAGGGAAATGGCAAGAAGGGATCCAATTTGGAGGGAAATGTCCTTCGATCGAGAGCAATTAGGGTTCATAGGCGATTTGGGCGGGATTGAGTGAACGATGCAAAATGGAAAGTGACATCGTTTTGGGTTTTGGTTTTGATTTTTTTTTTATTACTGAAAACGGCATCGTTTTGATGGTTGATGGTCCACGTCAATGCCACGCCACATGAGACGGTCGACACTAATTGGATCTCCACGTTTAGAATTTCCTAATCTAAACTGCCCTGATGGACTATATTGAAAATTTGTCCAAAAGTTTAGAACTACATCAACTAAGTTGGAAAGTTTAGGACTGAATGGACGACCATATAATAGGTTTACGATTTTTGGGTAATTTTCCCGATAGAAAACTTAAATACATAAAAAAAATTACAAAATACATAACAAAGCAAAGCAATCTTTAGCCGGAGAATTTTACTAGTTTTCCATAATTATTCTTGGAGATACCCAGTTAGAAAAGCATGTAAATTTATAACAAACATTGATACTTTGATCAATCTTGATCCCAATTATTATAAGAATGCAAAAGAAATTCGACAAGAGTTGCTATATGTAAAAATTTCCCCGGTTCAAAATAAAGAGAAAGTTAGCTTTCACATTGATTTTGATAACTATGCTCATGAAGGGGAATGAAAGAGCAATTCCCAACCAGTCAGTCAGCCTTCTTAAAAAAACACTAAATATACATTCTTCCAGAGATCTATTTTAAGTTGAGAAGGTACCAAACTACCTCCAGTACAGCCCAACTTGTGACGTACCTTTCTCTAACTTGCCCAAGAACTTCTTGTGCTTCAGCACCATAGCCACTCTCTGCACCAGCCTGGGGAGATAATTTCCTCTAACTTGCCCAGGAGATCGAGCTTTATGTCGGACAAACGGTGGAGGATATTGACAACAAAACAAGAAGTTAATATGAAACAGAAAATCAGCTTAGCGCACCACCTGGCATCTCACGGTCAAATGGTCATAATTAAAAGTTGCGATGTCTCGGGAAAAAAGACATTAGAAGTGCCAAAAGTTATGTATGACGCTAACTTTAGTACCAAAAATTTATTTCGAATCAACTTAAGTGCCACTTTTTAAAAACATGATTACTTAAGTACCAAATCCGATCTGGATTGCCGAAAATCTGACGTGATAATATTTTATTAATTTCTTGTTCCTACATGACTCGCCGGCGTGCCCAGTTAGCATATAACTCAATGACATCGTCTACAAGTTCTAAATAGTGATCGCTTGATTGCCAAATTTTATTTAAAGTGATCACTTCGATGCTAGTTATTAGAAAATGATCACTTTAGTACCAGTTAGATTGTACGACATCATTTTGGATGTTCAAGTGTCGCGACCTACCTCTCGAGGGAAGAACTCGATAAGGCGGGTTTAGAGGTAAGTATTCATGAAACGATCCATATGGCACATCATAAAAGACAGCTTTACCGAAGCATCGATCTTTTGGTCATCCACATGGTCCATTGATCATGAACGTGAACTTTACCTAAATCCATACCTCGCATAACATTGGTTCAGTTGTTCGATTTTATCTTTTTTAAGAGTCGCCACTAGCCTAGGTCAGGAGTCGGCTAGAATACCCAATCGAAATGCGGGAGTTTCGTTTCGATTTCTACGAAAACCAGAGATCATGAGTTCAGGAACTAGCTTACGTTAATATTTCTATTAACACCATTTCGGTACCGCTAAACTTATCATGGTTGTTATCTAAGTTGTCATGCATTTATTTTTTACCATTTTCATGTCAAAACCTTGATCCACTAAGTGATCATGTATTTTGTTTCTGTGTTTTTATTTAAGATTCTAAGCTAATCCTATCTTAGTCTTGAAAAGAAAGAAACAAACAATTGTAAAAAAAAACGTTGCGTAAAGTAAACAACCAAGATATTGAAAAGACAAAGCCAATTCTAAGTGTAAAAAAATAAAACCCGCAACTCGTCGGGTGTTTATTACAACACGAATTGAAAGCCCGAGACATATGTCGGGTAATGAATGAATTTTTACAATTGAAATGGTCGGAGAGGACATCGACCATCACCGTATACAAGGAATAGGGTCTGAACGGACATCGACCTTCGTCATCTTCAAGACCGCCGTCTTCTTAGACCTATTCTAATTCTAAAGCTAAACTAGACTAGGTACATACAAGGGAAATGAACATCATAATATTCACAAAACACACAATAATTGTCCATACAAGAGAACGCAATATGCAAGAAGATGCAAAGATGCAAATGTAATCACAACAATGGCTTCGAGATCCGCCTTTGATTTAGACATGCGTCGTCCTCATCTAACGACCTACCCACTCCATTTTAATGATGACTTATGTACATTAGCCACCAAGCACGTTCGTTTATAGTGACTAATGTGACATAGTCCCTAATTAGGGTTCTATGTGAACCCATGGATATCCCCTTGAGCATGCATCGGTTCCTATCATACATCTAGAAAGCACATGCATCCAACTTAAAATAAGCATGCAAGTAGGTCACAAAGACCTTGATTCTCATCCAATCACTCAATTTAGTGAACCAACATCGGGTCGCTTCATTCCATTCATCATGCGACAATTCATAAAAGAAAGAGAAAGAACAGCAGAACAGGGGAAGAAAGACCTATTTAACAGAACATGACCCATGCGAAATTAAGTTCTGGAAAAATTATGGTAGCTTAAGCACACAATGAGGAACAACTTTCATAGAGAAAGTTTTACTAAAAAATGTTCACATGATTTTATAAAAATTCGGGAACACGATTAAATGCGTCAGAAAAAGGGAATTGCTGCAGTTTTTGTTGCAAAGATAAGGCCATTTGCCTTACCATTTGATGCTTAGTAATTCCGAAATTTTGACACTGTAATTCAATGAATTTCCTACAACTTTCATTAGGGGTCTGACCTCTGATTATTTGTAGAAAAATCGATAAAAAATCAACAAGAGGTCTAACTCACTTTGGACAGAACAGGGGTTCCGAATTTACAAGTTGCAGATCCTAATGCAAACTTGTAGAAAAAATGAAAAATGTCCTAAATGGCAAGCAAATGACATGTTCCTGGTGTCTATGGAAGTTTCATAACATGTATGACGACTTACCAAAAGGGCATGAATCCGATTAAGTCCAACTTTAGGTTTGATTTTCATGAAAGCATGTCAATGCATTAACTAGTTTCAATGACATTTTATGGATGGCAAAGATGAACTAAAATGATGCATGAAATGTATGAAAATTTAACATGGTTTAGGACTAAATGCGATGACAAAGAGGATATAGTCATCTAATCCTAATTACATGAGCAAATGACCATACAAGTCCATGAACTATTAAGCATGAATTAATGTTCATGATGCATGAAATGCAATATGACAGAACGTGGTAGCATGTTTGTGCATGATTTTAACCTACCAAATGACATGCAAAAAATACATGTAATACGTCAATGCGAAGCTTGAATAGCCCTTTACAAAAGTCTAGAAGACTCCATGTTTTGATTGTGAACAGAAAAATTCCTATAAAATTGACAAGAGTGCTACATAAACAGCTTAATCCCTAATTGACAGATTTAGGGGTTAAGGAATTTCAATTGATTAAACACACTAATGACGAGCAATTGATGCATGGAGAGTGTCACTAGTGAGTTAACATGATGCTCTATGATGTTCATGAAGGTCACTTGAACAATTAAGTCCAATTTGACAATGAATTTTGCAGGAATGCAATTCGGATCAGTACTGGGCAGAATGAACAACCTGAGAATATGAGATGATTTCAGGTACCAAATGTTGTCTAAAAATTCTAAAAAAATATATATGACGTGCATGAGACCTGAATTTACAAGTTCACAGAAGGATGCAACTCGAAAATCGATTTTCCTGTTCTGTACAAAAATAGTAAAATGTGCAGTTTCAGTTCGGTTACAGCCAAAAACCAACTTACTCTTGCTGCAACTTTGAAAATTGATTTCAGGTGCCAAATGAACTCCGATCAGGGATATCTTTAGTATTTTAAAGACTGATTTGAGTGCTTTACAAACTTCGTTAAGGACTCTAAGTCAGAAAATGTCGATTTCAAACTCAAACGAAGATGTTTCAGCAAGTTCATTTCGGGTTCCAGTATAGGCAGACAAGACCTAGGGTTGAATTAAGGAATTTTCACCTATTGAATGAACTCCTAAAAATCTGAGAAAAAATTATGTCATGATTGTGATCCTAATGAACAATTTTCGTGAAAGAAAGATCGCCAAATTCAACTCACAAAAATCGGCATAAAATCAGCAAAATAATCAGACATTCAATAACAGATTTAAACTTTAACAGAAACATATTGCAGAACAGAGATCCGAGATTTCGAGGGGATTTTGAGGTAGTAAATGAACTTCATTTTGGACGCATAATATGTCGAATCGAAGCTTAGGAAGTATAGATCAAATGTCTAGAAGGACTCGAAGCATGATTTCAACATTTAAGAACTTGTTTCAGCTCTAATAGAATCTGTGTTCAGAGAGCAACGAAATTAACAGAACATTCTTATGCAATCATTCATCAATCAGAGCATCTCTATCTCACTAATCAACTCATCATCCTCCATATATGCATCAACAGCACCCCTTAGCATCTATCCATGGCAAGCCTAAGGCGAGTTCTAGCCCCGGACGCCTAACGCATCCTCGCTTCATCGAACTCAGGTTAGAGGAGTATACCTTTGTGCGCTTAAGCCTTGATTTCATCAAAACCGAACTCCACAGCCTCCAATGGATGATTATAGAATGCTTAAAGACCTGAGATCACGAACAAAAATCGCCAAAAATGAACCTAAACATGTTCGGTTAAGCTGCAGAAACAGAATCGAGTTCGGTTTGGACCCGATCTGTGCACCGGTGGGAGAAAGGACCACCGAAGCTCCTCCGTTGGTGATCCGGCCATGCCCCGACCTCCTGGTGGCCGGGAACACGTTGGGGAAAGGTCTGAGGGCGATCGGAACGCTGCTAGTTCACTGGGGACCACCGATCGAACGCCAGAACTTAGCTCGGCTCAAACAGAACCGGTTGAAGAGCCGACGGAGAAAACAAGCCGAACGGGAGTATCGACGGCTCGTCGGAGGGAGCTCCAACCACCAGGGGTTAGGGGCTGAAGTGGTGGTGCCGGCCGGAGGTAGTACATCGCGGCAGATTGCCGGCGGAGGGGCAATCGCCGGCGGAGAGAAGCAGCGCGCGAAGGAGATTTCGGAGGAAGAAGAGAGAACGTGGGAAAGAGAGAGAAGAAGGAGAGAGTTATGATTTTTTCCAAAAAAAATCATAAGAAAATGAAGCCTCCTCCTTTAGTTTTGGAAGGAAAATGGGTTATATAACCTCCTCAAGATTCAATCTCGATCGTCGATTTAATTTTACGATCGAGATTTGTGCTCATCCTTTACTTAAAGGTTAAGCAAATACCTCATTTAACATGCGCTAATTTGAATGGTCATGATTTAATCTTATCAACGGTCTTGATTAATTATGCAATTAAGGACCTAATTAGGGGTATTTTTGTAATTTTACAAAACCAAGGGATTTTTTTGCAAAATCTAAAAGTTGGAGAGTGCTCAAGTGAATTTTCGCAAAATTGACTTCGGATGAGTCAAATGATATCAACCATTCGCGAATCGTGAACGATTAATTCAAACCCCTAATTAGAGCTAAAATTGGGGGTTTTCATTTCAAAGTGCCGATTCACAAAATTGGTCACACGAGTAATCTTATGATGACCTCTAGATCAAATGTCGTAAAAGGAGCTAAGCTAAAATATGAACAAAATGAAAGTAATTTTGGTTTTCGCCGATTCCGAACCTATTTTCGCAAATTGGGGAAAAGTAGGTTCTTAATCGGTTTTTGCAAAATTTCAAATGCCAAAGTCAAATTGAATGTATAATAAGATGATTTTTGGATTTTTGTATTTTTCAATTTTTTTTATCAAAGGTTTGACCAAAAGTCAAACCCTTGTTGACTTTTTACTAGGAGTTTGATTTTATGATAAAATCTTTGAATTTTTTTGAAATTTCCACTTCTAAAGTGAAATCGGACTTGAAAGGAATTTTTTTATACGAAAAGCCCCAATTTGAGCTGGGGTTGACCAAAAAGTCAACCCGAAAGTCAACCGTTTGACTTTTTGGGTTTTTTCATGAAATGAATGATAAATTGTCTACAGAAGCTAGGCCAACAAAAAGAATTAAAAAACGACACTTTATGTTTAAGAAAACGGGTTCCATCGCGATCGAAAACCCTAATCTCGAGTTTTCTGCTTTTAACGACGCGTCGGCTAAAAATTAGGTGTCAACATCAAGTGGACTTAATTTTAAAAAAAAACATGTCAAATCATATTAAAAATTTTAATTATAAATGCCACATAATAAATTTGGCCGGAATTGGCACTTAACTGATCGTTTTTTCTCCGATTTGACACTTAAGTGATCGTTTTTTCTCTGATTTGTCACTTATGTGATCCAAAGAAAACCTTTTGCACTAAAGTAAGTGCCATGCACAACTTTTAGTACTTCTAATGTTCTTCTTCTTGATGTCTTGAGAAACTGGCTATCGGATTTGGGCTAATTAGGTATCGTTGGAAGGTTCTTGACAAGTAAGACCCAATTACATCATTTGATCGAATTTTAATAAAGTTCTATTCACGATCAACTTTGGTCGACACTTATATAAAAAAATTAGTCATCTAGTTGTCAATAGGACCCACATCAGATGTACATTAGATCCACCATTTTCATTGTTCCACGTAGTCATGGCCACGGGCCGGTTTTGGCTCGGAACTGGCTCGGTCAAACCCAGGCCCGGCCCGTTGACCGGGCCCGCGGTTCGGAACGGGAACCGGCCCGTGGCCTACTGGCCCGGTTCCGGTTCCAAATTATTTTTTTTAAAAAAATAATAATGAATATTTTTTAAAAAAAAATTCATTATTTAAAATTTTTTTTATAAAAAAAATTGAACTCTAATTGCCATGCATTATAAGTGCATTGATCTCCAATTACAATGCTTGGCTTGAGTATATTGAACTCTAATTACAAAGCTTGGCTTGGGTTTTATAAATAACCCCTTTGATGGTCTCTTCATTCCCAATCGATGTGGGACTCTCGGCTTGCCTTGAACACCTTCAATGTGAGACTCTTGGCTTGTCTTCATGCAAATGCCAAGAGTCCCACATCAAATGGGAATGAAGAGACCATCAAAGGGGTTGTTTATAAAATCCAAGCCAAGCCATGAGCATGTGAAGTTGTATGCCTTTTGTGGCTACGATCCTTTGCTAGTTAAGAGCAAAGGGTTCCATTGGACCGCCTAGAACCGGACCGGACCAATGGTCCGGTTCCCGTTCTATGATTTGCCGGTCCGGTTCCTAGTTCTAAAATTAAAGGATCGGTCTTACCGGTTCGGTTCCCGGTTCCGACCGGGAACCGATCACCCCTATAATTTTCATTTTGATTATAATTTATATTGAATAATTCATTATTTCATATTTTTATAATTCATTATTTTTTTATTTCATAATTTATTTTTAAAATTTTTAAATTACGAACCGGAATCGGAACCACTAGGGGCGGTTCCGGTTCCGGTTCGGACATGGCCACGAACCAGAACCGCCGGTTCCGAACCGTGGCCATGACTAGTTCCACGTGCAATTTAAAACACATGTTAATTCTTAGCCAATGGAACAGCGAGGACCGCGTGGACAGTTGCTTATAGTATTGTTGGTTGAGGTATGTAACTATTAGTCTCAGTTCAAGGCTCTATGATTGGTAGATTTCAATTTTCCATATAAATTATAGGTAAATCTTTCGTTGACTTTGTCGAGGTTCGCATAAACGTACCTTCAATGTGCCTGAATTCTCGAGAACCAAGATTGTTCCACGTATTATTTGTTATCCCTAAGGGTCGAAAGTGTAATCATGCACTCGGACTAATACTTGTATTTCCCAAAACCAATATGCCCTTTGATCTTTTACAAGCTTGCAATTTTCTTTGGAGAATGTTCGTGTTCCTCTCGGTTTCACGCATGCAAGAATGCATGTCTTTCTCTAGCTAGTTACTTGTATATTAGGCGTGTGCTGTTTCTTTTTTCATTTTTCTCGTGCATGCCACCAGAGTTGATAAGGAATATGTTTCAATAGATTTTTCTCTAGCTAGTTCACAACATGACGATATTGCTCTACAGGTAAAGGCATGTCTCCGGTGACTCTTTATATTGACTTTTTACTTAATCTAAATCTTACTGCTCATACTCCTTAACTTCTTTAACTTTTAAATTCCTTGAAATTTTCGCATCACTCAAATGTTGATACGTAAATTCAAGGACAAATTCAGAATTTGACCCTTGGGGGGGGTTAGCAGTTTGGGTCAGTAAAGATACATAATGTAGAAGATTTTCTCTAAAAAGAAACTTTCAATTTCATGGGAACTTTATCCTTCAATTGCATAAATTATAATCGAATAAGAGTGAAACTTTCATGATAGCATGCAAAATAATAACAACCAGGCCTCATCATCATACCAGCCACCTAGAAACCTATGGACTTCAATTTGGCAGCTACCAGTTTACCCAAAAATACGATTCTTCCTATGGAGCTTATGTCAAAATGCTCTCCCAACTCGGGAAAACCTCTACAAACGCAATTGCGTACCTGACCCTCTTTGTCTCATCTGTCGCAACCATCCTGAGACCACAGAGCACCTATTCCTGCTATGTAAATGGACAACCCAAGTCTGGTCAGATTACAGAATATGCATCAACATACAGCCTGCCCAAATTACCCGTACCGAAGCATGGCTAGCAACGTACCTCGCAATCGGTCTGAACAGTGGAACGTCCTCCCCACCGGCATGCATAGCGGACTGCTTATGGCAAATCTGGAAAGGGCGAAACGCCTTGATTTTTCGCAAGCAGAAGCCGAACCCGTGGCTGGTGGTAGAGGAAGCCATTAATACCGGGAATAGCTACACAAAGTTCACCATCATCAAAGAGAAAACACGAGGGCAGAAGCTGAAGGAAGCCCCCGAATTTTGGAAGCTGCCGGAGAAGGGGAGCCGTAAATGGAACGTAGACGCGGCCTGGAGCGCCGATTCGGGGAACGGATCTGTTGCGAGACTATGCCGAGATTACGAAGGGAGGATGATCGACGGGTTCGCCAAGGGTATCTGGGCACCGGACTCCTCCGCAGCCGAAACCCTAGCCGTTCGAGAGTGCCTGCAACACGAGCTCAAGAAGGCGAAGCACAGAGACGTCCACGAACTAAAGGAGGGGAAGTACAAAGAAGTCCATGAGCTTGGAAGTACAACAGTGGAGTTCAACTCTGACTGTTCCACGTGTATTAAGTGGATAATGGGCCTTGAAATTAGCCCATGGTCAATCCAATCGGTCGTCCAAGACTGCCAAAGCTTATTAGTCCAATTACCGCACGGATCAATCTCTTTTTGCGGCCGAGAAACGAATCAAGCTGCCGATTGCCTAGCCCGGGCCCATCAAAAAGGCCTTCTCAAACCGAACTGGCTCTTGCACCCCCCTTCTTTCCTTTTATCAAAACTTTGTTCGGATATCATGATATCTTGTAACGAACTATCTTCTAAGTAAATGAAATTACAATAGCTTTATGACAAAAAAAAAAACGAGTGAAACTTTCATACATATAAAAAATAGAATATCCAACTTGAATCTATTTAATGGAAATCCAAATAATAGTTCGCTTGACCAAAATTTACTGATAAAAGAAAAGTTATTCTATATAAGAAATCAATATTCTGTTTGGTTCAGTTTAGCCCAAAGACTTTGCATGTATGCAAAGAAATTCAAATTTCGAGGGTTTTCATGAAAAAAAAATAGTGTTTTGTAAATATTTATTTTACAAACAGATCCCTATGTCAAAAAGAACCATAACAAAACAGCATCGAAGCCTGGAAGAAAAAAGATACCACCGAGGCTTAACAAAGGGAAGAGCAGAACATCAGACAACAACAGTTAAAGAAATATCCTAGAAACAGTCTGTACACCAAAAACTGTAATAATGGGCCCAGCCCAGCCCCTGTCTCTGAAAGCCCAGCCCACCATTTCGTTTCCTCTTTGTTGCGACTCGAGACCTCACTTTTCCGTCGGAAGGGGAAAAGAATGAGGTTTAGGGATATTGCCCTGTTGACACCTAAATTTTACCTAGTCATTTAAGATTTAATTGCATAGAAATTTATGGATTAATTTTTAACCCCTAGTCAAAAATATTTTGATTGAATTACGTGGCATATAGGCATTAGGTGAATTTGCATTAATAGGGTCTATTAAAACATATTCGCTTATTTCTTAAAGAATTTAAAAAAAAACACAGGATTTTTTTATTAAAAAAAGGCGGGCCGGTTCGACCTAGTTCGAGTGGACCGGGTCAGCCGGCCCTTTCTCTTTTCCCGCGCGGGCCGGCCCACTTTTCCTTTCCCACTGGCCCAACCCGCAACTATTCACCTTCCCTTTCCCAGCAACGTTGGCACGACAGAAGCAAAAGGGACACAGGGGAAGAACGGAACAGTGACAGCGGCAGAGGAAGCAAAAAAGCAGAAGTGATAGAGGGGGCAGAGACCAGCACCGATCCGCTGGTTGGGATCTGGCCGGCCGCAGCAGGCTGGCGGTGGCAGGAAGCCATGCGCGCCTACCGTGGCCCTTAAGAGCACAGAGGGGGAGAGACTGAGAGGGTGAGCGAGAGTTCCCGGGAGAGAGTGAGACCATAAGGGAAGAGGAGAGATCCGAGAGTGAAGAATCCGACATTGAGAGTCTTTCTCTAGTGACCACCGCGCCGGAGCTTTAGTCGACAAGACGGTCGTCCGACGTTTCCCCTTCCTCGAGCCAAAGTCACGGTAGGTTTCGGTTTGTTCATTCTCCCTTTCTTTTTTTTGGTTTTAGGTTGATTCCCCGAGGATCCTGGTTCGGAAGCGTGCGGGGTGACCGGACCGTAGTCCAATCTACCGAGCTCGCCCCCCATTTGCTGCCGCCGAGCCGTGTAGGGACGCCACTGCCGACACCCCTATTTTTCTTGTCTTTTTTGCTCTGTTTTTGGTCTCGGCCAACCGGGGCCGAGACTCGCCGACGCTCGCTTGCACTCGTTTCCGAGGGTCGGTGCGCCTTCCCCAGCCATTTTTTGTGTTGATTGTGATCGTGGGGTTTGAGCCTTAATCGGCTCTGTTCTTGTTCCCAGTCAGTCGCACGTAACTCGTTTGACAAAATGCTCATGAAAAACTCTGTGTAAGTGATTTCGTTTCCTGTCGTCATCCAAGGGCTATTACTGTGGACTACATCACGTTAATCAATCCTCGAGTCATTTTAACGATGAGATGCTCTTCTACACCATCGTTTTACTTTGTTTTGTATATCATGCTTTGTGGCTACCAATGACAGTCCACTAGTGGTGTCCGACAAACTGCCGTGTGATAGCGTTAGTCGATGGCGGATGTTCGGTGTTTAAGAAATGCTTAGTGATACAATGCGTTATTCTTGCTTTAAGATAAGATAATGAGGGCGTTATTGTTCAATCCGTTTTATTCTGAGATTGATATGGGATGTTGAAGTTCCTGGGTGGTTGCGTTTGCTGGGAGAAGACAACCATCTGGGCGTGGGTAAGAGAGAAAGAAAATTGGTGTAGGTTCTTGTTTGTCTCTTGTTAGTGAATTTGGGCTGGGGTGTTTTCTTTTCTTTATTGTTTTATTTGAGTTGTAGGTTTATTCCAAATTGGGCCTAATCGCGGAACCCACCTAGCGGTGGACCCGGGTCAGTGCGCCCGGATCGGATGTGGAGATCCGACCCGAGTCAGTTTTTATATTATTTTAATATTAAAAAATATTTTTTAATTAAAATTTTTTTCGAAAAATCAAAAAATGGCATTTGGGTTTTGGAATTTCCCCCCTTCCTGCCTTTGTGGTGTGATTAATGCCATATTTAATTGCATGTTACTTGTTCCGCACGTTTTAATTGCGTGTTTAATTCGACTTTGCATGTGGTCGATAAGAGACAGTTAGGTCTTTGTTTGCGTATTTCAATTTTGATCATTACTTGATTGAGCAGCTTCCATATATGGATTGCTTCCACCCTTTAGCTTGGTTAGGGATAGGCCTTTAAGATTCATCGTTGATAAGACTGCTGCATGAACACGTTAGGTGGTGATTGAACAAGGTTAGGTATCGAAAGGGCACTAGTTGATCAATTCGTGTAATCAAGTCTCCGTACCCATTGAATCTCTGGTTTGTAGAAGTGAAGCAATTCTCCCACGCTTTCCTTGAGTATCCAATCGACCCATCAAAAACTGATTAATGGCGACTCTAAATAAAATTGATTTGTATGTTAATAACTTAAACCTTAAGTCGCGAGTTGGTATAGGTTTCGGAGAGCCTGAGTTAAGTCCTAGGTTTAGACTTAGCAATTTATTAACCAGACCCCCTTAGGTGGCGAGACCGGTTCAGGGAGGTCGCGACATGCCCAAAGGCACGACAATGACCCTCGATGCGGGCTCTCTAAAGCTCATATCTCACGTGACGTTGGATTTCGTATTAGGTTTCGATTTAGTCTAAAAGATTCTACATGAGACGAGAGTCGCTACTAAACTATTGGGATTGGCTAAAAATTAAGTGAGGTGCAGGAGGATACCTCACTTTCTACGCTACCAGAAATCTAGGATCGGGGACTTCATTACTAGTTATTTAACTAATGCCCTTTAGTACCATAACTTGATAAATTGTCCACTAAGGTGCCCATGGAATTTTTTACCAATTATGAGTCCTAAAATTGTCATTCGCTGAGTCCGTGCAATGTTTTCGTGTTAATTATGATCTTAACTTGTGGTCTAACCATGCAACTAAGCTAAAAGGAACACAATCAAAGAAGTAAGGAATAAAAGCGCACACATCAAGTACGATAATGAATACTAGTAAGTAAAGGTGTGGAAAGTAAACTCGATACAGTGTTAAACAAAGACAATTACATGGCATTGTTATTACACCCCGAGATTGGACCCCAGTAAACAAAGTGGAAATTTAAATATTCATGAATTACTTGAAATGCAATAAATTACACTAAATAATTTTAATCTACGCAAAATGGGTTATTTACAAAAATGATTATTATAATTTATAAAACAACATAAAATAGCACAAAATTAGGAAATTGACTTTTGAAAATTAGGAAAGTTCCAAAAATATCATTTCTGCCCTAATTTACTAATATCCTAAATTTTTTTTCTATTTTTCTGGAAAATTTTCGGATTTTTCTTTTTTTCTTTTTTATTTTTTAAATTTTAATTTTTTTGGAAAATAATTTTAATTCATTAAACCAAGTTTATGCTTGATTCATATGAACACGGACCCAGTCAGAACATGAATATCACAATAACCAAGCTTGAATCAACCTTTTCAAGATTGAAACTTGGATTGGGCATTTCGTCCAACATTTGGTGCACATCACACTGCCTACACCAGTTACGTCAAGCTATGTTCATGTTTTCAATCTCAACTTATAGCCGATCTTAAGAAAAATTAAATCATCAAGGTTACACTAAAAAATGTCAAGAAAAAGATTAACAAGAAAAATCATCCTAAAACACACATTAACATGATCAAACTTAGCTTGAAAGTCACGGGTTTGACCTGTTTTTGGAAATCTGGGTTTAAACCCAGGTCAGACAAACAGGTTGCCTGCCCAGATTCAAGCCCTAACACTTATCACATGCGAGACATACATGAAAATATACTCGATCCTAATGAATTATGTAACATGGACTTTCAAATGCAACAAACATCATGGAGAATGATCAATTACACATATCATGGCCAACCAAAATTGGTCAGGATGGACTGAATGGATACAAATACAAAAGGTTTAGGATTTAATTCGCTCAAAAAAAGATTTGGGACTGAATTGGCACAATTACAATAAGTTTAAACAATTTTGGTAATTTTCCCCTATACTTTAGCGACTTACAGAAACCTTTTGTCCCTAGGGTTCTGGTGAATGTTTGAGTCGCGGATCGATAAAGTTAGGATTCATTCTTTTATAGTCTCCTGACATATTCTTTAGTCGATATTGCAAAATAGCTATGTAGACTTGTCCTAGCAGACGAAACAATAACATTAAAAGGCAAATTGACCTCTCAAGTTTTAGACACTAAATCTACCCGATACAACTTTCTTGCAGTAATTAAAATGAAAAGAGGTGCTATCATTTTTACAAGATGTTTGGTAAACTCCTCAGAATTGCAATACTTTCATAGTTATAGCAACTTACAACCTGTCTCACCTAACTTTGAGGTGCTATAATTTTGAATTTTGTATTGTCTAATGCGCCAATTTTAGTTTTCGCAACATAGTTATATATAGAGCATCGCAGCAGCTACACTAGAGCAACAATGGTTAGAACAAATAATTGGGAAGAATAGAATAAGACTTTGAGGTGTGAATACATTATCTTTAAGGAATTGTTTGCCTCACAACGTTGCTAATGGTTGCTAGCAAAATTCCTCAAAAATACAACAAACCAAATAGCAATTCTGGTATTTCTCGAAGAATCTCAAAAGGAAGCAATTGGAGAATAAATGCTGTATTTTAAGAAAGAAAAGAAAATTAAAGTGAAAAATATTGAACGAGAAACATTCAATATATAATAGCCTAAAAATATGTTTGAATAGATACAATCTTTTAAAGGTTGTAAGAATGCCTAATAACCCTTAGGCAAAAGTTATCAATCCGAATTTTAAAAAAAGTAACCGTAAGTGCCAATCCTAGTCAATGAGCAAGCAAGCATGCTAAGCACACTTATTATTCGAGCACCCACACACGGTTATTGTAAGGTCCAGCCCACTTAGCCCATGGTCTTTAATTGTAAGGCTAAAATACTTACAGTTGAACAAATAAAGGTTGTATTTGAAGAAAGAAAAGAAAATTGAAGTAAAATATATTGAACGAGAAACGTTGAATTTATAATAGCGAAAAGTTATGTTTGAACATATACAACATTTTCAAAAGTTGTAAGAACGCCTAATAACCGTTAGACAAAAGTTATAAATCCGAATTAAAAAAAAAAAACCGTCATTAAGTACCAATTCAAGATCACACAAGCTTAGAAGTGCCTATTCTAAGGTCGACGAGCACGCAACACATTTAGCCCATAGTCTTCATTTATAAGATTCAAAAGACTTTCACACTTATATATTGGTCCACACACTCATATCTTTTCTATGTGGGACAAGACGCTTCTTTGTTTGTTTTATAAACAATCTGTCAACAACACAGCTATACCAAATAGACACTAAACCTACCCGTCTTTCTTTCTTCAAATACAAATCGCTCTTTTTTCATTATATCCATCATACTAATCTAGACAATATACTTGTATTCGACGAATTAATCCTGTCGTATTCTCGTAGTGGATCACCTAAATGGACCACTCAAGACGAATGACATCAACCCATACCCTTTATCGACACCTCCTGCAAAAAGTATGAGCAATGGGAATGTTCTGAATTTGACATGAATTGACCCATCATGGCTAGTCGACAATCAATTGGAATCGCATCGACTCTGCATCCACAAGAATACTCGTTCGGGTCAATTCAGTCTCATTATCCACCACACGAATGAACCCAGATTATGGTGCCAAGAGATAGCCACAATTTCGCGTTAGTATCATTGCTTTATATTGCCAATACGCGGGGTTAATCATGTCCAAGTATCTATCATCTTTTCAGCGTGTCTGATCGTTTTTAGTAGGCCATCCATGAATAGGAGAGACGTTTTTCAGCTCTCGGAATCATGAAGAATGTCCGATGCTGACGACCCCAATATGTGCTCCTGGAAAGGCACAAGTCACGCTTGCTTGCTGCAAGTTGTGGCCGTATATGCATGCCTAAGCTTCACATCAACGTACTGGCGCATGAAATCAGGGCCACATCTTCATATTCTAGCTATTCTGGATGGAGTCCGAGCATTCATGAGTAGGTTGACCGGTGTAATGAGATGATCTCATGAGCTAAATTTGACTGAAAAAAGGATTCGGATCATGTGTGATTGAGTGGTGACAATGGGGATCCACAATGAGTCCGCTCACGCACTACTAGAACCATACTAAATGTACTGCTCAAGCTCGAATACATTGCACTCAAGTTCGCGTTGGACTCGAGTAGCTCGAGACGTGATTCGAGCAGTTGTCTGCTACTTTTCCTTCGAGACGTTGCCTATCCGAACTCTACACCACGCATATGGCCATACCAATAGATCAAGACGGTGTTCTATCCGATTAGAACCCGACAATTCCACAACAGGAAGTCTCTGGGTGGCCTCAGGCTAGGAGAATTTCCTTCTTATGAAATTGAACCCGTGATCATTCTCCATATGACCCAAGTTGGCATTGAGAGTGAACCAACTCGACTATGCCTTATTGTCTTCAATGTACCAATGTACTTATACTGTTATAAATATATGTACCTAATACATACGATAGGGGAAAAGTGTAAGAAAAGTATCAAACCTATTGCATTTGTGTCAATTTAAGCTACGTTTGGTCGACCGGATAAAAGCCAGGATAGGATATGTTTTATCCTATCCTGTGTTTGGTGGTGGTCCAAGATAGAATAAGGTCGGATATAGACTGGATACAGCCCGAATAAAAAAATCCGAGAGGGGGTGGGATAAACCTGGATAGGATTTTTAATGCCTATTTTTCCAAAAACCTTACGCTCCACTCGCCATCATCTTCATCCCCACACATCGTGCGCTTTCACCAAAAAAATTTCTTGGCTTTTTTTCCTTCACCGACTCCTCCGGACCCGTGAATAGCAAAAAAAATAAAATAAAATAATCCTATTCGACTTTAAATCCGTAGTCCACCAAACAGTGGATAGGATATGAAAAAATCTCAGGATTTCTTATCCTATCCTATTTAGTCATATCCTGTTTAGAAATCCGGATAACCAAACGCAGCCTTAGTTCTAATCCTTTTAGCCTAGTGCCAATTCAGTCATTCTAGCTAATTTTGGCCAAATATTGTTGACATGGACACCAACTTGCCGACGTGGCACCCCCGGCTCTAACGTGAACAATTTTTAATAATGTTTTAATATTTCAATATTTTTTATTATTTTTATTTCTTTTCTTTTTTCTTTTCTTCTTCCTTTTGCCGGTGACTAGCCATGGGCGATGGCTGAGCGGGCTGGCCTCACCTAGACAAGGGTCGCCGTCGCACGCCACAAGTGAGGCTCGATGAGGCTGCCTTGGCTTGGGCAAGGGTCGGCCGCACCTGTGGTGGGTGACGGCGACCTTCGCCCAAGCTAGGCCAACCCGCCCAACCATGGCTGGTTACCGGAAAAAGGAAGAAGAAAGGAAAAAAGAAAAAATTAAAAATATTATTAAAAATTGTCCACGTCAGCGTCGGCGGTATCATGTAGGCCGGCCGGCAGCCGCGTCAGCAATATCTGACCAAAATTAGTCGAAAGGACTGAATTGATAGTAAGCCAAAAGGTTTAAGATTTAATAGGCATAATTAAAATGTTTAAGACTAAATTGACACAAATGCAATAGGTTTAAAACTTTTCTGACACTTTTCCCCATACGATAGTGTCCTTCAATGGATGTTAGAGTTCTAGTTTAAATCGAATTTGGCCAATTTACACTTTTTAATAAACGAATCGAGCTGATTAGAGTTAACTTTGAGCTTAATTACAAGTTTGAGAAATTCAATTTGATTGAACTCAAGTTTAGTATCATGAAAAACAGGTAAATGACACCACAAGTCTCATAAATTTCATATGGCATTCACTTGAGTGCAATAACTTCTTTTACAAATACTTGAGTGCCATAACTTATGTACAATGCTTAATTGAGGGCCATGACTTTTTTTTTTATCACTCAAGTGATAAATAAAATTTTAATTGATCACTTGAGTGTTATAACTTTTTAAAAATGTTTATTACAAGTACCATGCCATGTTGGATTTATGGTAGTTGAGTGAACATTTAAAAAAAATTATGGCATTCAAGTGATCATTTGAAAGTTCTAGCACTCAAATGGACGTTTTTTTAAAAGTTATAACATTCAAGTGGTTGAAAAAAAAAGTTGTGGCACTTATGTCCTTAGACGCACCCATCTTCATCAACTTAAAATTTTAGAACAAACAGGCGCATACTTAATTTTAAGACGGTATCAGAGTTGTGGTCTTGCGTTCAATTCCTTATACAGTCATGCTATCCAATTGACGCATGAGATAATCTTAATCATGCTTATCGAGTTGGTTAATGGACAACTTAACCAGAATGAGTAGTGAGCGTTAAGCTTATTTAAGGGGTAGAATTCCACCCAAGTAGTTGAATCGACTCCCATGATCATCAGCCAGCATTAGTGCATTGTGAAGGCTCCCATGAGCGTCAGCCAGCATTAGTGCATTGTGAAGGAGACAGGACTCGCATATTTTTTTTATTGGCCTAATGCTCTTAAAAACCTCAAACTTTAGCTTTTATCCCAATTTTTACCTTTTGTGTCATAAAAAACCTCAAACCTAAGGTCTAGTCCCAATTCTATCATAAATTATTTTTTGTCCCATAAAAAACCCTCAATTTTAAGTTCTGTCTCAATTCTACCCCAAACTTTTCTTTGTTCGATAAAAACCCCCAACTTTAGGTCTTATCCTAAATTTACCGTCTAGTACCAATTTTATCTTAAATTTTTTACAATTTATTAAAAGTCAAAAACTTTTACTTGAGTCACAAATCTACTCCCATCAACCATCTGTCCAAAATTTCTCATTGACAACAGAAAGATGAAAAACTCCCAAGTAAGAGCTGATCAAGTGTCCCAAGCACGAACTCTCCAACCGCGAGAGATGAGACATCCCCAACAACGAGAGATCGAAGACCGAGCGCAAAATCACTAAGGACCATTTTGATGAAGGGTTGATGGAAAGTAGATTTGAAACTCAAGTAAAAGTGGGTGATATTTTACGAGACAAAAAAATTGATTGAAATTGAAACTGGACTTAAAGTTGTGATTTTTTTATGAGAAAAAAAAAGTTTAAGGTAAAAATTGGTACTTGACCTAAAGTTACAAAAAAAAGTTTAAGGTAAAATTAGAATTTGACCTAAAATTGTGTTTTTTTATGAGATAAAAGATAAAATTGAAACAAAAATTAAAATTTGAGATTTTTTAGGGTAGGAGACCTTTCATTATTTAAGCCTACATAATTTCTCCCACAAAAAACCAAGACCAAAAGGAACACGGAAGGTGCATAAAACCCTAATCATTTTTGGTCAGTGCGGTTGCCTACTTCATGGAGCATTAAGTAAAAGTTATCGAATGATTACGATTGTCCCCTTCGAATAGTACGCTCACCTCATAAAATATCCAATGATTGACGCCCTTCAAATAATTTCGCTGTGAACCACCAATAACGCCAACGAATAGTGCTGCTTTAGGATCTCGCAGGATGTGGATAACTACAAACATCACAAACTTTTGAGCAACTGTACAATTAAGACATAGAAATCTAATTATGGGATAATTATATAAATGATTCCCGAACATTAATTCAATATGCAATGTGATCTCTTGATTTTTAATTTATTCAATTTAATCTCTAAACTTTATCTTAACGTGCGATGTGATCTTTGAATTTTTGATTTGTTCAATATGATTTAAGGACTTCTAATGCATGTTATACTTAGTCCTCAAATTATATGAAATATTCAATATTGTCCTTCTAGTTCAGGGACAATTGAACATTTTCATATGGTTGGAGGACTAAATTGAATATGTATCAAAAGTTCAAGGACTATATTGAACAAACTGAAAGTTTAGGAATCAAATTTTACATTGGGCTAGAATTTAGAGACTACATTGAATAAATTAAAAGTTCAAGAACCACATTACATATTGGACCAAAGTCCAAGGATCATTTGTTTCATTTTTCCTTTTAATTATTTGTCAATTGAGTTTCGAATATTTCAAGTAATACCCACAAAAGCTTTAAGTCGGAAAATCCAATCTGACATTTTTGACATCGGAATTTCGATTATGGGATCTCGTGGCAGATTTTTAAAAAATTTAAGTTAGATCGTCAAAAATGAATATCTTAGAATTCAATTGTACGTTGCGTGAATGTCTGTAAATTCCTTTGTACTTATCCGAACAGAATATTGGTATATAGTGGGACACTATTGAGAAAGCATACATATCTTGATCCTAGAAATCATTTATACTCGACATACATAATTTGAGTTTATAAACGTAAGGCTCTAAATGTAAGTACCAAAATAGAAATCAACTTTCCAATTTCTATTTTCCGCATCGCGTTAACGAGGAGCCCGCTCGAGCAACAACAATAAGTTTGAAGTAATTTTTGAGTTTCGAATTTTTTTGATTTACACAATTTGACTTTTACTTGATGCAAAATACGTGAAATTTTGACTTTCAGATTGACATATAACATTTTCATAATTGCTAAGAATTCAAATGGTATTTTAAATTGTTTTGCGAAAACTTATTGCTTAAATAAGTGAATAATCGGGTGGGACTACAAGATCAATGTGCTGCCATGTTGTCCCTAACCCTGTTTCCTTAATACAGTAACTTTTGAAGTTTGATTTATTTCTCTGTGAATGAGAACTCAATCCATCGTCATTGTGCGATCACTATTGCTCCTTGTTTATCGAGAGATCTTCGCTGTGAACACCCGACTAGATTCGGAACCGACCCGTCATGCTGAGATCGAATTTCACCGATCTCGCTAGCCATGATCGTCGTATATATCTTTGATAGAACATTCATCCAAGGACATATCAAAATTGATCTTTCAAGAAAAGAGAGAATCATATGCTTGAATCCTCGGTGTATCATATTTACAGCTCCCGGACCACAACAGGGGAATAAAAAGATGGGAAAATAGTAAGGACCAAAAAGAGAAAAGAAAAATTCTTGAAGCTAAGTCATGCCCAAAACCAAGAACCAATCACTCTAAAAGAAAAGGAAACGAATTTCCCAATCAAGAGCTCTGATCAGAGCCATCCTGGTTCTCCAAGTCCCTGCCGTGATCCACCTGATCAGACTCACCTTGCTTGCTCGCAATCTCCGCCTCCCCGACCGCCAACTTCTCTCTCTTATCACCAACACTACCGCTCTCACTCTCCTCAAAACTAGACAACCTCGTACTGCAATTGCTGCAGTTGCTGCTGCTAGGGGACAAGATGGGCGTGGCCAAGAACATGGTGTCCGGTCGACCAGCCACGATCACCACTATCTTCTCCTCGAAAACCTTGTCTTTCTTCTTGTCGCCGTGATCCTCTCCCTCCTTCTCTGCACCGGCCTCCAGGTCACGCTGGCTCTGTGAGGAGGATTCACCGTCATCTCTGGCATCGAAGTGGCCGGAAAGCTTCCAGTAAGAGCAGGCGAGGATCAGGAGCGCGAAGGCGACCAGGCCGAGCATTGCGGCGAGCCCGCCGAAAAGGTACGGCACGGGGGAGTGCCAAGGCGAGTGTTGGTGGGATTCGGGCAGCGTTCTTGCTGTCAAGTTGAAGTGTCCTCTTGCAGCTGCCATTTTCCTATTCTGTGAAGATCTAGTTTGTTTCTTGGCTTGAATTGTGAAGATTTGGAGCTGTGTTTGCGTTGGACTGAGAAGCAAGAGAGCAGGTGTAAGAGGAAGTAAAAGGGAAAGGAATTAGCTTTGGATGGGGATGGTGGGTGCGATGCAGAGAGAGCTTCATATATAGCAGAGGGAGTGGGTTTTCCGGAATTTTCTCAAGTGGATCTTGTCATCTGCTTTTCTTTTCTCTCCTGCTGATGGTTTATTTCGTCATTTAGTCGCATGCGAAAGCGGGATATATCTTTCCGACCAAAAAAGAAAAGCGGGATATATCTTAAGAGTAGACTAAGAGTTGGCAAATATGAAAAGCATATGGTTCTTGTATTGTTGATTGGATGGTTATCGTTTGGAAAGGAATATGAACTACGCTGACGGATGACTAGGAGCTGAAAATGGATAGCATGAGCGCAAATCGAACTCCCAAGAGCGAGAGTTTGGTAAAATAAAAGAAAAGCAACAAAAATTCGGATAAAACAAGTAAAATCTTGAGACGTTCTTTTTGCATCGTGACCCTAAATCTTATGAACAGAATACAATCAAGCCCTAAACTTTATGATTGTCTAAAAAAAAAAACCAAAAACTTAAGTACTGAACTTTTCGATTAAGTTTAGTCCTACATGCTTACTAAAATATGCAATCAAGTCCTAAGCTTATGTTGAAAATTACAATTTAAGGATGGCCCCTAGGCAAAAAGTGGCACCATGGCAATCTTAGGTATTTTTCATTGAAAGAACTTGATTGCATTCTTAAAAAAAGGTTTAGGACTTAATTGAACCAATTGAAAGGTTTAAGACATGATTCCTTCCTACACAAAAGGTTGAGGATTTTCAATGAGTAAACCTATGGGATTAATAAAGACATTTTTATCGATAAAAAGACTTTCTTGTTCATAATCAGATGCGTGTGAAATTCTTCTCTAGATTGAACTTCTTTAGATGGGAGTCAAGTGAGATTTTCTTTAATTGTATTCCTTGTTGCGTGTAAATCTAGCTTGTTGTGACATTTGAGTCACAAGATAAATGGCCCATGTGAATCTAGCTTGGGAAAAAGAACTAGTATGGTGCAAAAGCTAGAAGAGATGCTCGAGTTCGGCTAGTAAAATGAGTATAAAGAGACAAAAATTCCTCTAGGTGGGTCCTGATGGGGTCCCGTGAAATATTATGTCGTAGGGGTTCGGGCATATTGAGAGCACTAAGCGATGCGATTATCCTAATCTTTAGCAATCGCTGACGTCTACGGATACCAAGGAATGGATTCCTGGGATCGATCAAGTAAAGAATATGTACGAAAACAAGTTAAACAAGTCATCAGAATATACGTGGGCAATTAGAAAAATGCAAAAGGGAAGACAAGGAGAAGAAGTTTGGCAAGATAAGATTAGAGACGTAGCCATTAGATTCCCACTATCTCAACTATATGTTAACAAAAAGGTTCCAGAAGAAAGAAATATGGGAAAAGAAGTTTGGTGCTTATGGGGGTCTACGATGGTATTGCTCGAACTCTACATGGATTAACAATTTGGCTTCTCAGGATAATTATCCAGAAAGTCCTAAACCTATTGTAAGGCAATCAATTCAGTCCTAACCATTTTAATTGGGCCAATTTAGTTCTAAACCTTTTAACGATTTGTCAATTTAGTCCCGAACCTTTTAATTATATCATTTTGATCCAGCAACGTAATATATAAGTCACTAGAATTCCCAGTACATCTTTTCTTAAAAGAAAATACATCACTTCCATACTTTCTGAACTAATTTAATATGACAATACCAATCATTCAAATGTAATATGAATTAAAAATAAAATATTCGCTGCTTTCAAGTGAAATGGGCACACAATGCTGTTTAGTCCACCTCATTGGTAGGGAAAAGTTTTTCCCATTGCTATTTTGACATGTTAGTACTAAAATCGGTCACATGAGGTGTTTCGCCTTTTCCTCGTGATGGAATCTCAACCTATCTTTATTAAAAGCATTGATTAGATTGAGGAGTGATTGTAATCACGTTTATTCATTTTTAACACATGGAAGTTTGGCAACAAAATAGGTACCATCTCAATCATCTCTTGCAAAAATAATAATAATAATAATAATATTCATCTTAAACTTGTAATAATATCTTGATAGTAAGAAAAAAGAAAATAGAATTGCAATTTATTAGATTGAGGAATGAATGTAATCACCTTTATTCATTCTTAACATTTAAGAAATGAGTGCCATCTTAATCACCTTTTTGTATAAAAGTGGTGGGTACCTCTCTCTCTCTCTCTCTCTCTCTCTCTCTCTCTCTCTCTCCAGCGAACCCTGAAGGGACAACCAAATGTTCCTTAGATATAACACGTCAACACAGGGAAAAGTGCTGAATAAGTCCTAAACCTTTTGGGGTGATGCCATTTTAGTCCTAAACCTATTTTTTATGCCAATTGAGTCATAAACCTTTTGATATAGTGTCAATTCAGTCCTTTTGGCCGGATTTTGCTGACGTGGACGTCAGCCGGCCGGCGACCGATTACCGGCGCTGACGTGGACAAAATTTAATAATATTTTAATATTTTTTTTGAATTTTTTTTTTCTTCTCCCTCTTTCTTCAGCCGGTCGCCGGAGCGGCGACCGGCCGGAGGCCAGAGGCCGGCGGCTGGGCGAGGCTGGACCTCGCCGGATCCGGCGAGGTCAAGCCTCGCCCAGCCATGGCGAGGCTCGCCTTCACCATCGTTGGCGAGGGTGAGCCTCGCGCTGGGCTGGCGAGGCTCGCTCGGCCCTCGCCATGGTCGGGCGAGGGTCGACCTCGCCAGATGCGGCGAGGTCGGGCCTCGCCCAGCTGCCGGCGAGGCTCGCCCGACCCTCGCCAAACCTCATGGCGGGCGAGGGTCGACCTCGCGGATCCGGCGAGGTCCGGCCTCGCCCAGTGCCGGCGAGGCTCGCCCGGCCCTCGCCCGAGGTCGCGAGGTGCGGCGAGGGCCGGGCGAGCCTCGCCAGCCCAGCGTGAGGCTCGCCCTCGCCGGCGACGGCGAAGGCGAGCCTCGCCATGGCTGGGCGAGGCTCGACCTCGCCAGTGGCCGGCAAGGCTCGACCTCGCCAGTGGCCGGCGAGGTCGACCTCGCCGGCCTCTGGCCTCCGGCGGCGACCGGCTGAAGGAAGAGGGAGAAGAAAAAAAAAAAAAATTCAAAAAAAAAATTAAAATATTATTAAATTTTGTCTACGTCAGCGCCGGTAACCGGCCGCCGGCCGGCCGATGTCCACGTCAGCAAAATCCGGCCAAAAGGACTGAATTGACACTATATCAAAAGGTTTATGACTCAATTGGCACAAAAAATAGGTTTAGGACTAAATTGGCACCATTCTAAAAGGTTTAGGACTTATTCAGCACTTTTCCCCGTCAACACATGATAGTGGAGAATAAGATTAATTAATCCACTAATCCTCCACTAAGTCTGTAGATTATCCTAGCTATACGATATTTATTATATGTATTAGCAGAATATAAATGTGACACATTAGCATGTCACAATCGGATCCCTCTCCTTGATTACTTAATGGCTGCGGCTGGATAGAAATCGCTCTCTCGGAGGCTATATGCAGCGTGGATCACAAGTCCTATTAGAATTTTAAACCCAAATGTTTTGAGTTATCAAGTGGAGGGACACACAAACTCGTTTGTAAACACACGAATGGAGCGGTCCTACTTAAAGTGAAGCGAAGGCACTTGTCTAGGTGAGAGATAAAGTGTACGAGGGATTCTTTGAGAACACTTGGAGGTGTGATATATATTGTTTGGGAAGAAGATCTACAATGGTGTGCGTACAAGGTGTGAGAACAACTATCGGAGGTCCAACAAATGCTTAGTTTATAGCGGGGTTATAGTTGAAGCAAGTCGGGTTCTGTGTAGCAGTAGGTTCTATGCTTGTACAAAGGCGGTACTTGTACTTTTGGCATAACTAAGGGAATTCATTCTATTTGCCCTACTAGAACTAGAAGAGAGGAGCAGGCACACCCAGGCCGAACCTCTACAAATCTTGTTTAGGATTCATCTTTCCCTAAACTCGTTAATTTCCACATTGTTAGTTCACTATGCACATAAAAAAAATATTTTCATTGGGGTTAAATTTAGAAAATTAATCTTTGTTTTCTCGAAAAACCAATTCATTCCCTCTCGATTGCTTATTTGGGCCAATCGGAATAGACCTACCTAGTCTCCTCCATCACGAAGGAGACAAGATCCCATCCCCGCCGAGTCGAGGCACAACGACGGCCACAAAGAGAGGTGCTAGTACATAGGGTTTCGGTGGAAACATCTTCTAATTTACAAAATAGATGAACTACATTTCTCATGTGTCGATCCATATTTCACTTGAAGAGCCTATGTTAAAGATGGGTATACACAAATTACTTCAATCGTACAACGACTTTGAGGGTAGACATACCATATAATCGAGTGAAGCATGTGGTGTGAGGCGGCTGTGTTACCAATATCGCGACAAATGGTTCGTCAGATGTTCTCATTCTAGATAAGGGTTTGTTATCAACAAGCTAGGAAACAACTTCTTCGACTGGGTTATTCGCAATCATGACATAACGAGAATATAGGAATACATGGTTTTTATTATTATATTCCCACTATTGACATGCATGAATCTCCCTTGAGAACGAGGATATATGTAGGGGCGATATATCATACTATATTCCCATTACCACAGCACTCATTGCTTAGAGGCTGCTCTCTAATTTGATTTGCAATTGGACTTTGCTCTTTTAACGAATTTATTAATATATCGTAGGAGGATGTCATTTTAGCCACGACACTTTCTCATAGGATGACACCCAATAACTTGATCATTCACGAGCCAAGCAGGGCTCAATCGTCCACTTCGGTTTGGTTTGGACATTTTTTTTACACGTTTCTCGAGGAAAAGGATACATCAACTTAGTCATGGCCACGGTTCAGAACCGGCGGTTCCGGTTCGTGGCCATGTATGAACCGGAACCGCCCCTGGTGGTTCCGATTCCGGGCCGGTTCCGGTTTCGGTTCCTACCGGTTCCGGTTATCTTTTTATTTTTGTTATTATTTTTTTATTTTTTTTTGCCCGTAAGGCTGCCTTGGCAATGGGCCGCAGCAAGGCCTGCAGACGTGCAGGCCTTGCTGCAGGTTTTCTGTTTTTTTTTTTTTTTAATTTTTTAATTTATTTTATTTAATTTTTTTTTTGGAACCGGGCTTGGAACTGCCGGTTCCGGGCCGATTCCAAAATTGCTGGA